TTTCTGTTACGACCAATTGAAATATAACAGAGATTATAACAATTTCCAAAAGCGTGATTACCAACAGATATAACAAAGTCTGGTATGTCAACAGCGGTGAGTAACTGGCAATTTAAAAAAACGTTATTACCAATTGATAGTAATGACTTTGGCATATTAATACTAGTAATATCAACCATTTTAAAACATGAATCTCCCAATATTTTAATGTCTTCAAGAAGTAATACACCACACAATTTCTGGTCTTTTTCTGTATATTCTATGTTTTTGAAAATGAAATTCGAGTTTTTAAGAAAAATACGAATGCTATGTGAAACGGGGTACCAAACTACAATTTTAAAAAAATCAACTTTGTCAAAACTCCATGTTTTGTTGTGAAGGTCACAACATTTAATATCATTTATAATATTAAATGGAATGTTATTACCAAAATTTTCTTGGTCTTTTGAATATAAGTGAAGGGTTTCTATATTTGGAAAGTATTTAATTGTATTTTTGTTTAGAGGAATTGGGTTGAAATGGTATTTTTTCATGTTGTTTTTGAACTTTTTGCAGACCAAAGAAAGTGTGAAATAGTCTTCAATAGATGAAAAATATTGAGATATAATCAATATGTGGTATACATCAATACAAGTCATAGTAATTGAATCTTTAAATAAAATAAAATACAAAATTTTTAACTAAATCAATTTATTATTTAATGTGAAATATTTCAAATTTATAATGAATTATTTTAATATCAAATAAATTAGTTTTTAAAAATATTCTTAATTTAATAAAAATACGAATTATAAAAAACCATTGAGTTATAACAAAAGTATACAGTAGCAACATTTAAGTTCTCAATTTGGAATAAACCCACTTAACACCCAAGACTCTGGTATGGTTCAAAATGTCTACAAATGTAGACAGTCTTTTATAATCTAAATAATCGGGTAAATACTATAAAACAATTGACAATTTTGCAAATGAAATACATATTTGAAATGTTTTATCTATATTTTTAAATAAAAAATACCACAACACATAGAATGCCAAGCAACAATTATTGATTTTTCTGTCAACTAATTTTAAAGTCGAAACTATAAATCTCAATTATATGTCATTACAGGATAGTGTTGTTGAAAATAAAAACATTGAAAATGAAATTTTTGAACAAACTGTAATTGAAAATCTCGTTGTAACAAACAAACAAATGTTTAAACAAGGAACACCGGATACCAATTTTTTATTACTTTTGAGGCACTTTATCCACGAACAAAAACAAATGGAATACAAAGAAAATCAACAACATAATGTGGAGTTTGAAACAGTCATTTCGAAAAAAATTAATGAAAACAGTAAAAATGGTCTACACGAATACAAAAATATCCCCCAAAAAACTACCGCTTCTTTGGCAACACTGTTGCCAACAATAAATATAGACACAAAATTAAAAAAACAGCAAATTGTTTGAAAATTTATATTTGACAGTTTATTTGATAAAAAGGTTAAAGAAAAAATTATTTATTGTACAAATCAAAGAATTCCCATTGAGTAAAACATTTATAAAATTAAACAGATGAAAAAGGTTATAAACAAATATGAACAACTTCAAGTAAATTGTATTTTATCAGAAAATAGATTAACCAACAATTTTGTTCTATTTGAAGAGTTTAAAAACATTGATTACGACTATTTTGTGAACGCAAATCAACAATTGATAACAAAATATCCAAATTTGTCATATTTGAAAATAATTGCCACTTTTAACAAAAACGTCAAACTCGCTTTTTTCTTTTCGGATTTTTATAGAAGTTTTTCAGAAATTTATAAATTGGATTATGTCAAAGATGATGATTTAAATAAACTTCTGATACCTTTAAAGTATTTGGAAAACATAAAAGAAATTAAAGATTATAGTTACACAATTAATTCATTTACTGAAATGGAGTTGGATTTGTTTGTTGGAGTGCTTATAAAAATGAGAGTTGATAAAAATATAAAAATGTCAAAAATTGATTTTTGAATAATTCAATACAAGGAATGACTTATCACAGATTTGTCAATTTAAAGAGTTGTTTAAGATTTGATGATTGTAATTCTGGAGACGTTAGATAAAAGAAGAATCGAGTTTGGCATCGTTATCGAGTTGTGAAATTTAATTAACAGTAAATTTTACAACTATACACACCCTCAACATATTTAACATTGGATGAACATATATGTCCATATCCTGGATTCTTTTATGATTCTGTATACATGAAAGATAAGTCTCATAAACGTGGAATACGAGTTGATTGCTTAAATGATTCAATGACAGGTTATTGTTTGTACCAAGTGCCATTTTCGAGAAAAAAACGATCGTGTGAAACCTGAGTTCTTGTTTGGTAAAATGCCAATAATACAAGAATATCTCAGTGAAATAGGTGTTATACTGCAGTCTGAATTCTTTGAAAATGAACAGTTATCACAAATAATGAATGATAAAAATAAGGAAAAAGACGAAGAAATGGAGATTAGTTGTTGTGAAGTTAATAGTGAAGAAAAAGAATCAAAAGAATTGTTGTTGCAAATTTATTGGAAAAACAGAAATAGACGAACAACATAAGTTTAATTTGTGTGAAAAATCTATTTTAATTCCAAAGGAATTGAAAAAACAAATAAAATGATACAGAAAAAAATTGAAAATGCCAAGATTGTACAAATGTTCAAACGAAAAAAGTTATTTAATTAACCAATTAGAAAAAGTAAAAACTTAAATGGATCCATCTAAGGTTGCTAAACTTACTTTAATGAAATATCATTATTAAAGTTTGTTTTTGTTTTATGTTTTTAAACATAATAATTAAATAAAAATATTAAAAAACAAAACTAATTATTAATAATACGGGTGTCTGTCTGTTTGTGTGTATTAGTATCGGTTTTAAAAATTAATTTTGGTGCATCAAAGAAGTTTTTATCGTGTTTTTAGAGCTTTAATTTGGCAAATTAGTCGGTTTGTAAATACAGAATGTGTTATCGGGGTTTTAAAACCGATGACTTTTCCATTTTTAGTTATTAGGAGAAAAACATTTGTGGTTGCGCTGAATAAGAATTGTTAGTACTGATAATTATTTATGTAAATAATTGGTTATGTTGTGTTTGTTTTTAAAATAAATGTTTTTACTTTTGTTATATATTTTATTCAAATCTTTTTGTTTTTTTTTGAATAAAGAAAAAAAACACAAAAATGTTTTTGCCTTAAACAAATATAAAAAAGAAAAGTATTTTAAATTTACACAATAATAACAAAATGGTTTAATTGTTCAAAACAAGATTAAAATTGTTCGGTTTGTAAATGATAATTTGAACCGTAAACTATACTTGCCTCAAATTCGCAGTCTAATGTTGATTTGTTTTGATGAAGACTTTATGATTATTAAGTCCTTTTCAAATTTAAACACTGTTTTTTTAATGCTTTGAGTGGAAAACTTGTCGAATCCAGAATCCATTTGGTATTTGACCAAAAAGTGTACGATTTTTTCATTTTTGTGTAAAAAACCACATTTTACGATTTACACAAAATGTAACTTATTTTTTGGTCCATATGTTTCTTTAAAACAGTTTTCAACAAAAGCTCAAAAGTTTAATTTAAAAATACCGACTTTGAAGTTTATAAAATAAAAAATAATCAATTCGATTCATGCCTCGGAAAAATTTGCTTTTTATCCCTTCGAGGACGGGAAAAATCAAAATTTGTAAAACAATAAAAATCTTAGTCAATTTTAATGTAAATGTGACCTTTTTTCTTTAATTTTTTAAAAAAAGCTAGACACCCTGGAACGACGGCTCTAGTAAATTTTTATAGTAAAATGTTATAAATTATAGTAAAAAAAGTGAATTTTTTGTTGAAGTTGGGATGAACAAAGGTTCACTTTTTTGCTTGATCCTTTCAGAAACAAGTCACAGTTCAATGGAAAAGTCAGATCAAATATTTATTGAGATGTCCACAACTTATTACAATAATAAAATTAATTATAAAATATAACAAAGACTAAATTGCATCATAAAACATACTGGTCCAGAATATTCAAAGTCAATTACATCATAAAATAACAAAGAAAAGATAATAAAGCATAGACTTTGAGGTGTCTTGAAATTTCAATATGCAATTGATCTCAAAAACAATTACAAGGGAAAATAAATAGCTTTTTTTGTAAACTTTGAAAAATACAATAATTTTAAAAATTGGGTTTTACTATTTTTTTGTAAAAGAAATAAGAAAAGACGAAAAGACACTTTTGTTTGTTCCGACTTTGAAAAATAAATCTTAAAATAAATAAGTGTAAAATAAACAAAAAATAAGTAAAATACATTTTCAAAAGTATCAAAAATCGCAAAATCGAGAAAAATTTATAAAATCAACTTTAACAATAAAAGTAGTCGCGTTTGTATAAACTTTGATCACCACGAGGTTTTGTGATCACTCGTTGAAATTCACGTCGTGTCACTGTCGAGGAAGCAAGATATAAATTCATTGTTTGTAATTTGAATATTTTATCATTTTCAAACAAAAACAAAGGGCAAAACTTGTTTTCTGCGATCTATTTATAATATAAAGATTTGTATTTGGTAAATAAATGTTTATTTTGCAGCCACTGTTTATTCATTTTCGAATTATGCATTTTTGGGCAACAAACAAAAAACTTATAGTAAATGTATAGAGATAATGAAAAACAAAGAAAAACACAAGTGTAAAGACATCTTGATATATACCAAAGATAACACTTTAAACTATAATTTATAATAAAATAAATTAATATATTATTAATAATTTATCATGTTATTTATAATAGTTTTATAATTATAATTGTTATATATAATAGTAACAATC